CAATATTAGCTATGCAGCAGCTGTGGTATACTATTAGTTTATCAACAGCAATATTAGCTACGCAGCAACTGTGGTATACTATTAGTTTATCAACAGCAATATTAGCTATGTAGCAACTGTGGTATACTATTAGTTTATCAACAGCAATATTAGCTATTCAGCAACTGTGGTATACTATTAGTTTATCAACAGCAATATTAGCTATGCAGCAATTGTGATATACTATTAGTTTATCAACAGCAATGTTATTCATAAGCTCTCTATGGTATTGTATAGTGATCAGCACGAAATAATGGTACAGAAACAAACTATGGTGCTATTTTATAGTCACTATTAAAGCAATAGAACAAGTGTAACACTGTTAAAAGTAAAAGCCACAGATAGAACATAAATTCTGGTGTTATAAAGATTTACTAGTCAGGCAACAAACTGAAGCATGATGTCATAGTTCACGTTATTTAAACATTGTTCCAGTTGTGAAACTTACTTTGGAAATTCTTCATTCATAAATATTTTTTACTTACGTTTACGACAATATATAAAAATTAACACACAAGTCAAAACGTATAGTTTTCAAATGAAGACCGAAATCTTACTGAACTGTACCTGTACAGTGGTGCTTTGGTCAGAGAAAGGTGAACTGAAGAACGTGGTAATAATATTCATGACTGATGATGTTACGTAGTTCTCTAGCTGGATATCAGCATGACGACGATCATGGGTGGCATTACACACCTAAAAAAATTACAACATCTAGTTAGAGGTGTAAATATTTTCACCTTTCATAATCAGCATTACACACTAGCAATAAAATAGCTGATCAGACTTCTATGTAGATGATAAGAAATAACTGATTAGCTTTTCAATTAAAGCAAATACTTGTATTCTTCACAAAAAAATATATATGTACTTTAGCCCTCATCTTTATTAAAAACAAGCAATAACTCTGAGACTTAGAATTTTTTATACACACTATTCTTTTTTTCTATCACATTCTACCTTTAACAATAACACGTATATATTTCTCAGTCAAAAAGGAAGATTTTTTTGTTAATGGCAAAATTGGTGTTCAAAGTCTACAGATTTTTCATATGAAAGTCATTCTGTGAAACCATTTTTGTTCTTCCACATTTAAAATTGTGTATTATAAGAACAGAAAGACAAGTTTTGCTAGAAATAATACTTATAAAAATTATACTGAAAAAACATACAAAAAACAACAAGTTCCTATAGCAAGCAGATACTCACCATAGCCATGTCAATCAAGAAGTTCCTATAGCAAGCAGATACTCACCATAGCCATGTCAATCAAGAAGTTCCTATAGCAAGCAGATACTCACCATAGCCATGTCAATCAAGAAGTTCTCAAACAAGGTCCAGATGTGACTGCTGGTGTATATTTCTTTCATTTCAACTTCAGTGTCTATGAAACAATGACTAAGGAAATCAATGTAGGCTTCTTTGATCTAAATAAAAAAAAAGAATCATTGTCACATTTCATTAAAAATAAACTTATTCAATTATGTGCAGAGAAGTTAAGAATTAAACAACAGCATTTAAAACTATTGATTTGATCAGAGATAGATCGTCTCTTCCAGATTACATTTTACTACTAACACCAAAATAAGTATATATGTTCGGTAATATAAACTACAGATTTTAGAACAGCAGGGAAATATATTATCAAAAGTGAGTACTTAAATATATTAAAAAAAGAAATGCATATTCTTTTCATGACTATAGATAACCAGAAAAGAGGTTTTAAAATTTCTTAACACGTTATTACTTACTTCAGGAAGACAGTCTGGATGGGTTACAACCCTTACAATGTCATCTAGTGACAACAAAGAATGACATTTAATTTCTGTGAACACATTCTTCCCTTCCGTGCAGAGGGCAAGGACTTTGACCAGGTTGATGTGGTACTGAAGTGGTCCTGCTTCATCCAACCTCTGACGTTCTGACTTCATCATCTCCACAAATTGACTAAATGAGGCTTTGTCATTATAAAAAACCAGCACATCTTCTCCAGCATTGACTAGCTGTAAAAATAACATTGACAAGAGTTAATAGCATATACATAGTTAAGAAATTACAAATCCTGGGACTGCTTTTCCCCTGGAAAAGTTTTGAAATTTATAGTTTCTATTTGATACATTTAGGGGAGTTTTAGCTATATAAATGCCTAGTTCTTAACCATCCATAAATATTGCAAAAAAATGACAAAATTTTATGAACATTCCATACAAATTTTAAAAAATATCAAATTTCTGTAAGCACGAGAGAAATATTATAAACAGAAATAATACATAATATTTTTTAGAAACCTCTAATTGCCCATGTAGATGATTAACACTAGTAGTGGCTACAAGTAGGACACCCTAATTTGAAATTAGGAAACAAAATTCCAAATAAGTTACTTTCTTATGTTAATATTTTTTTTAATGTCATTCAAGTAGTGAAAATATATCCTATACATACAATATCTTAACAGAAAAAGTACTAATTATTCATTTATAATAAATCCATATCCATATAACTGTCCCAATTTTCCTGAATGCACAATTAAATGTTTTAGTGACCTTTGCTGCCATTTCTTGATGCTCAATCTCAATATTTTATATTATGCATACACTTCAGTAATTGCTGACATAAAACTAATGCCATTATATTCATAACATACTTATGAACGAAGTCCCGTACGTGTGCTTGTATAGCAACCTCTTGCTATTGCTTTCATAACTATAAACCTTTTTTCTACAGCATGAACCATATCATTCAAGTCAACTTCCTTGAGCCATTTTGCAAATGGTCACCCAAAATCAACCATTTACACCTCCATTTATTCTTCTCTTTTTCATTCTCCTTAACACTGGAAACTTTTTCTACAGTCACATTTTCATTAATATAAGTCTAAGTAATTTTCAATACATGACAGTTTACTTTAGTTCAAAAATCTATTAGATGGTTTTTACAACAACTATTATGACTATTATTCTTGTATATTTGAAGAAAAATTTTCCTAAATAAATTTGAAAAACAAACAGACCTTGTAAATTTCTTCCAGAACACCCAGGCATCTACTTTAGCAAATGAAAACTTAATGTTTTTATCTACTTTGTAGCCTTTGTACAAAACATTCATCCTCATGAAAAAAGCTGGTATTAAACAATAGTAAACACAAGTACAGAAAAAAATGTAGCCAAGTGCACGGGGAAATGTTCAACCTACCTCTTGCATCACCAAATCCTGGCACTTTCGGATGAATTGTGGATTTTGACCTTCAGCCTTTACGAGAGTTTGAAGAAACTTGATATACTGCACATGCCTACCATGGGTCTCAATACAATGTACAAAGTGCTGTACTACTTGTTCAGTGACTTCATTACACAAAGCTACATTGTCTTGAAAAATGCTGCGCATTGTCTGGGCATCCAGGAGCTAAAAATAATCATATAACACTGTTAAGAATCTCAAGCATACCACAGTCTACCATAAGCTACAAATAAACATTATTTATCATCATAAGAGGTTAACACCTTTAAAAACTTTCAAAAGTCACAGATACAAACTGCCAAATGATAACAGCATACCCCTTAAGTTGTAAAAGTACATAATATGGTGCCCAAAAGCAGTAAAATTAAGTGTCACTATTGGATGGGAGCTCTTGATAGACTCGGGAATATATCAGGAAGTTACAACACATCACAGGCGACAATAGTAAAGTTAATGAGTGGCAGTTAAACATATTTTTCAAAATCTGAATGTTAGCAGAAATAAACAATTCTATTGCATTTCAAATGCTTTAAAAACTCTTTTATAAAAAAAAATATATAAGTGTGTTAAAAAGCTCACAGAAGCATTACTCTTAAACCAAACTTATGAGAGGACCTAACCACACATCACTAATTTGAATCAACATGTTTTGCTCATAAAGTATGAGCAATTGGTTGGATATATTCGGAAATTTTGTGCAAAGTTACACAAGGGTCATCTGAGCTAGCCGTCACTAATTTAGCAGCGATAGATTAGAGAGAAGGCAGCTAGTCAACATCATCCACCCCCAACTCTTGGGCTCCTTTTTTACTAATAAATAGTGGGACTGACCATCACATTATAATCCCCCCACAGTTGAAAGGGCAAGCATGTTTGGTGAAGGGAATTTGAACTCTCAACCCGCAGATTGCGAGATGAGTGCCCTAACTACCAGGCCCAAGTATGATAAAAAACAACTCACTTTTAGCATTTAAGATTTTCTTAATTAACTGTCTGAAAGTTAAATTGTGACTTGCAGATCTTATTGATAAAATATCCAATTACAATAATTAAATATGGTGTTACTCTTCTTCAGTAGTCGTATATGCTCATTACCAAAGCACGGATGAAGTTCCAAATTTAATGCACTGCAATTATGACGACTTTTTCAGTATTGAAGTTTTTTCATAATTTTAGTTATGAATTCAAGTCACACACTACAGTAAAACAGCACAAAACATTAATTTGTATTCTAATTAGCTGATGAATATATTGTTAGCAATGCCCTTTGTGATAAATTACTTTATATTTACAATAAACATGTAAAAATCACTTGTATAATTTAACCATTTCTGTAATTATTACCTACCACAGAAAGTTTATAGCTTACCTTTAGCTGGGACTAGATTGTAAGCATAATAGAAAGAAATACTGGTTTAATAACAAGAGTAAGACGAAAGAAGTTTAAACTTACATTTTATGATTTAATCAAACTACATATGAAACAAAGTAATACAAGAGAACCCCACACCTGCAGTTAGTATACATTTTGAAACACAAATGACTGCTGTGTATTGATGCGACATAAACATACAAGAATAAAATGCAAAAAATCCTTAAAATACATATATTTTATATCAATAAACACAAATGAAGATGCTTATAAATTATTATTTATGACTTCAAACAAAACTTTATGTAAAAAATCACTGAACAAGACTATTTTTTTTGTCAATTTCTTCAAGGGAATAGTTCAACTCGAAACAACAAGTTTTGTTAAAACTCATTTAATATACTAGTATTCAATTTATTCCTGAACAGTTATTTCCGTACCTTTATTAAAATTAAAATATTTAAATGATTTGTTCAAAACTAAGTAATATTGACAAATAATCAAAACTGTGTAGCTTACAACCTTTGATTTCAAATAATAAATTAACTTTGATTGTATAAACAGGTATTAAATCAAAAACAAATTGTTAAGACTTGTCTTATATAATAATATTGATTTGTTTTTGAAAAATTCCTTTGCTAATTCAAAGAAAAATTTCTAAACAATTATTAAGATTTATTAAAAACTAAGTAATTCTAAGAAATAATCAAAACTGTGTTAGTTCAGAACCTCTGGTTTATATAATAAATTAACTTGGATTTTATAATAAGACAAATTAAATTCAATAACATTAGTTTCCAAAAGACTAAAGCTTGAAACTATCTAGTACCCAAAATTTTAAATTTTACAAACATTCTCCTTACCCCAGGATTTAGAAAGAGATCTATATGTTTATGCATGAGTGCCTGGTTAGCCTGGTTCCCCAAACAAAAGTGTTGAAGAAATTCATGAGCTAACTTCAGTAACTCGTTCATACGGACATCTTCTTTCTATAATTTCAAAAACAAATTATGAAAAATAATTAATAATACATTTTTAACACAATAATTCACGAAAAACAAAAATCTACCTTCTAAAAGAAAATCTACAGTTAATACATAGAAGATGTATCAACTGTTTTAAAACTCTTTAAACAGAATTTAAACAGAAAATGATTTGGCTCGTATGTTTTTTAAACACCTAAAATTTTCTGATTAAAATTCTATAATGTGTAAATTAATCAACTATTTTTAAAACCAAAATTAAATATATTTCAATAACTCTTCTTCACTAAACATTAATTTTTAAAAAAGTTAATGAAGACTAAGGTAAACCTGCTCTACAAGTTAATACAAAAAAAACAAAAAACAATTTGTCAACATTATTAACCTTATCACATGGTATCTGCAACAATTCTAAAACCACTGAATGAGCCCCCATGTTCCGAAGAAGCCTCTGTTCATGCTTACGGGGTTTCTTGGCACCACCTGGAGTTTCCTGAACACACAGCCTTATCAACCTTAGTAGTATCTGGATGTAAAAAGAATGAACTTTAATTTTATGTTCATAAAAGTCATATCTACTTTTTGTAATTCATGAATACTAGCAGAAATTCTACCCTAAGGATACCCTAATTACTAATTGTAGTATTTATACATCGTTGAAAAAAAATGTAGAAAAAAGTGAACATTTTCTGAAAAGTACTGCATGGGAAAAGTGTTCGTATTGTGCTGATATAGACTGTAATGTTTTAAAATATTCATAAAAGAGGTACCCTTTATTGAAGAAATAAGTTTTTTTAAGAACTCCATTTTACAAATTACATCAATAAAGATATAATGAAACTCTAACGTACAGTCATAGTGAAAGTTGTGTTCTTGTCACGAGGAGAGTACTTTTATTTAAAACTGTGTTCTATGATAAAGAAATGGTTGTTGCACATACTGCAGTTATTATTCTAATTGTATGAACCTTGAATACCAAAAGTGCAATATTTTTATATATTTTTGTTTGTGGTATCATTCAATAGATGGCGCCACATCGTACTTATTATTTAGGTCACATGCTTAGATATATATACATATACACACACACAATATGTCCATTGTAGTAAGATTATTAATATTAGATACATGAAACATAATAAAATACACTATCAAATGATCATAGCATTTCATAAATATTCAATGAATCCAAATAACTGTTAATTTAGGTGCAGCTTCTTTGCTTCCTTTTTTAAATAATTTAACATAAGAATATACAGCCAGACACATCAATACACAAAATACAAACTATTTTCAGCTATATTTGCAGTAGGTTTTAAGAGCTCATCATTCTGCATGTGTAGTTTTACATTATTCAGTACCTGTTGAATAGTCTTGTAATTTTTAGATTGAGAGGAGTCAAGTGGAGGACCAATGTCCAGATCTATTGCTGACCCTTCAGTTGCTGGTGTTGCTCCAAGGTTCTACAAGATACACAACATTAACCTTCAAACTTATATTCAGCTCTACCCTTGAATACGTACACAGAGATCGATGACTAAGCAGTATGTTGTATAAAAACAAGTTCAATTTAATAAACTTCACAAACAGGTTACAACAGATGTAACAAACCACAATTTCTAAGAGTGCTCATACCAAGAAATTTCATCTAAATTTTGGTAATATTTCTATGAAAAACATCCCAACTACAATATTAAAAACTGGTAGGAAAAAATGCAGAGACAGCAAGATGCTAAGTATTGATTACATCTTTAAGATATGATTCTTTTCAGCAATATTACAAACCTCTCATTAGTGAATATAGTTAAGACAAAGTGTGATGTGATAACTAGTCAAAATCTGACTATACAGTATTGGAAATAATTATGGAAATGTACAAGTGATACGCATAAAGAAATGACAAACAACGTGTAATTGCAAATGAATGGCCAACTCGTCATTAGTAAAACAGATTATTACAGAAACTGCAAAAGTGAATAACTTAATATTTTGTAACTGCTTCAAACAGATCAATACACCTTATGCTATTATATGTATTTTATAGTTGTGAAATACTGTTCCAAATATTCTGTACTGCACCTCACAACCCAAACAACGTGCTTGATTGCTGCTGTTTGACCTCTCAGTTTCGATATAAATCCATATTAACTCTTTAAATACATAATTTTGTGTGTGTTCTGCGATAACATCCAGACTTTACTTTTTTTTTCAATTATACTTCCTTCTTATCTTACTATGGTTTTACATTACATTGCATTATCATATTTCGAAATACTTAATAAAAATGTTACTTCAAAGTCACAGAGAGTAGATAAACAACACTTACAATAAATTTAATGATTGATAAAAAAAAAGACATTATGATTTTCTTCACCATGTTTCGTACATTTGAGTGAAAGTCCAATTTTACTGTAAATTATTCAAGCAGACTATGTTGATGAAATCATCTTAAATAGCTTTTCAAATTCTAGGCTGAATCATATCTGAAAGGGGTGAGGGAGACCAAAGAAAATGTAAAGTTGTAATGTTTATATTCACCAATCCACTTTTCTTTTTGGATTTCTTCTGTTCATTCTTTTCATCTCCTCCTCCATCAGTTTCATTATCCGTTTTCTTTTTCTTCTTTTTTGCCCCACCTTCATCACTTTTTGCTTTATATACCCAAAGCTCTGATTTTTCTACCAAGAGTCTTAACTCATCTAAATCAGTTTTTATTTGTTTATAGTTCTCTACATCACTTCCTGACACCAACAACTGGACCTGCAATGAAGAAAATTGATTTTTTATCATTAGTTAAAATATGTTAATCATATATAACTTACACACTTTATTTTCAACATTTCATGTTTAGGGATCAAGTACTATACTGGAAAAGTAGTACAAAACAAGCAACATTAAAGTACAAAGAAAGATTTAATTACACCTCTAAAACCAAGAGTAACAACTTCAAAGTTATAAAAAAAATACAAGTTCATGGTAGCTTTTTACTAATATGTTTACATTGTCTAAATAACAAATAAGCTTACCTATTCATAACTCAGTAATTAAGGATACAATCACAATTATTTTAATAGTGTACCTATTAGTATTATAGTATTCCAAACTCACTATATTTGTCATATCTATTGCAAATGACTACCTTTACCCAATTCAGAGCTCTTCAGGCCAGCTGGAATACAACAAAAAAGTAATGGCTGTAATACTACTTATATAAGCCATTTGCTATAACAACAGCTGCTATAGTGTGGTTGGAATACCATTACTACACGTTCTTCTAATTCTTGAAAATCCCTAAGGAACTGGATTAAGAATGATGTTTAAAAATGTAAAAGGCCTAATACCAGATCATATAATGCCAAATAAACATGGAACTAGTGACTTTCTTTTCTTCTCAGCTCTTTCAAATTGTTAAGATATAAAGAAAGTTAACAAAATTACATCCTTTATCACAACCAAATGCCCACTGCTTTTCTTTATTTTTTTTCAGACCTTTTGCAACATGTATTCCTTATTCTTTGGATACTACTGACCTGTTTGAAAGCCTGAAGTACCTCCTGACGTTGACTGAAGTGTCTGAAGAGAAGTTGAAGAGCTCTAGATATCAATGGAGGATAATCATGCATAGTTAAATGCAGAAGAACTCTTAGAAATGTTCGGCCACCCTGGCCATCCAGGTCTACTTCTGAATAGTCGTCACTAGCATAGAACGACAATAAAACCTTTACTAAATATTTAATACCAAAATTTCTTAAGGTAAGCTCAAACAAACTGAATAACAAAAAATGATGAAGATAAAAAGAGTTGAATACTACTTAATTAATAACAAAGTTGAGTTTCTTGCCAAAATCATTAGGAAGTGAAGAATTGCACAAATTCAAGGTATCAGTATTTCAAATAAGGCATTACGCTGTTTCAGATTTGACCACTTATATATTACATACATATGAAACAGAAATTATATACACCTAAAATAAACAGAATCTTTCTAAAGTCATAAAAAAATCTTTAAAGACTTAAACATTATTATTCATCAAAGTATACAATTTATATCTTTACAGAAAATTGAAATAAAAATTGATTTTCTTTTATCACGAGTTGTAATAATATCTCATATCACCCAGGAAAAACAACTTAGAATATATATATATATATATATATGTATAACACATTTGAAGAAATTACGTTAATGTAATGTTTTTATTGAAGTTGCACAACATAAGATACTATTAATAGGTAAAATAAACTATACACCTGGAAAAAATTAAGCACCCCCAAATATTTTTCAGGATTGCTTATTGAAAATAAGGTTTAATTTTCATGATGTTGAGCAATGTTCATAATTTCAAACATAATTAAAAGGATGTGAGCGTTCAGGTGTAACATTTAAATCAGGCGCGTTTTTTTCCCCATGTGCAACTTGCTCCCTTCTTCACGTCCAATATGCACTATTTTCTCGTGCATCAAATCCGTATTTAAGTCCGGAATTTCTGAATGCAAAATCA